TATCCTGATCAAAATGTATGTGTCCAAAGGCTCACGTCACAGTACTTTTTTATGAGCTGTTACAAAAGCCCGGCTCCAGGGCAGAGCAAGGATGCACTAGAGGAAAAGCTGTTTTATGCATTTCCAGCTGCAAAAAGTAGTAACATTTCATGTGGGAGTGGTGTATTCATCCTAGAATTTCTCCCCTCAAGGGATAATAGGACATTGCCTTTTCAGCTTTGAAAAGGGTATTACAAACATTCACTCCAAACACAAATACCACATTTGACCTCATTCTGCTCTCACTCAGCAAAATGTTTTTTCCTTACTATTATAAGAATTGATGATTCTGTTGGTGATATAATTTCTGATAAAGTTTTCAGGAAGCTTTGGAAATCATTAGGTGCTTTCACTGTGTTGCTAGATGTGAAGCAGAATTAGAATTACATGGTTTGGCTTTGGCTGGTATTACATTATGAAATTCATTGTGATTAGAAACAAGATTCAAAGTATAGGACTACATAAGCACTTTTCTGGTTTAAAAAAAAGTGTTAATAGTGTTGATGCTGGGATTGCTCTCTTAAAATATTTATAGTTGATCTAGAAAAGAGAATGAAAGATTTAGAGATAGAAACATCATTGAGAGAGAATCATTGATTGGCTGCCTCCTACACACCCCCTTCCCCACCCCCCACCCTAGTGGAGATGGAGTCCACAAACCTGAAAACCTGGCATGTGCCCTGATTGGGAATCAAACTATGACCTCCTGGTTCACAGGTTGACGCTCAAGTGCTGAGCCATGCCGGCCGGGCTGAAAGGAGATTTTTAGATCTTCTAGGAAGAAAGTAGAGTTGGTTGGCACAAGGTGAAAGAAAGTTCCACAACATTATGTGTGGGCAGAAGAGGAGCAGATGGGACCTCATTTCAATCAATTCAGCTTTTAAGTAGTTCCTCCTTTCTCCACCTGATGAAATGGTGTAATGTTCTATTGAAGGGTCTTATTCTTATTTCTCATCCTACTAAGCTATTTGGTTTTAAAGTGTATATTTTCTCTCTCCATGTGCATACATAATATATCTGCATACATAAATTATTCATGTGTTTAAAAATCTTCGCAGATTTTATTTTATAATTTTTCTGTTATTGCTCTGCTTTCATGTTTTTCTGCTCCTTCATTCCCCACTACCTTTCTTATTTTTAGACATTTTGTGGGAATAATGGGGTAGAGTATTTATTATGAAATATTGACAATTTTATTAAAATATTCTGTGCTACTGTTTTTTAAGAATGAAAATATCACTCAGGAGCTTTCTTTGTAAAAGTCAGTCATTACTTAGCTCCCAAACAGAGAGTTAAAATCTACCCACTGTATCCTTTTATGATATATTTTAAAATATACATGTTAAATATATTTTAATATATTTTATATATTTTAAGAGGTATTGTAATTTGTCTTTTACTAACTGTGGGAGATGGGGCTTGGGAAAGAATAAACTAAGAGCTCATTTCAGGCATCAGAAAATATTAATAATTTAAGGTAACATTCAGGAGGTTATTTTCAATAACTCAAATAGTTGATTGCCCCCCAAATAGCTGGTGTTTTTCTACTAAATAATTTAAGGTAACATTCAGGAGGTTATTTTCAATAACTCAAATAGTTGATTGCCCCCCAGATAGCTGGTGTTTTTCTACTGAAAATATAATACTTTCAATAATTTTAATTTTCTCCTTATTTAATTCAAACAAATTACAGACTCATCTTGTCTCATTCTGATGATGGGTAAGAAATTGTATTTAAACTGGGGAAAAAGAGCCCAGTTTCTTCTAAATTTTGCCATATTTAGGTATTCTGTAGTTGACCATAATCTTTCTACAGGATGCACAGAGATCTTCAGAAAATTATTGTGTCAGTAGAGATGGATGCTGCCTTAAGAATGCTGAATGAGCCGAGCTGGTGTGGCTCAGTGGTTGAGTGTCCACCCACGAACCAGGAGGTCATGGTTCGATTCCCAGTCAGGACATATGCCCGAGTTGCGAGATCAATCCCCATGCTGGAGGCAGCTGATCAATAACTCTCTCTCATCATTGATGTTTCTATTTCTCTCTCCCTCTCCCTTCCTCTCTGAAATCAATTAAAAAAACATATTTTTTAAAAAAGAATACCAAATGAAAATCCAAATCCGCAAATGCTGACTCACTAATTGCATAACTATGAGATTTATTGGGTGACTCCTTTATAATGGAAATCTCCCTCTTATTAAGATGACTGATTAAATGTTCAAAAATGTGATAAAGCCAACTTTTTAGGAAGACACATTAATTTCCATTTATTCACAATAGTATAGGATAGATCTGTATTGTATCCTATATTTTACATTTTGCTTATTTGGTTAAGGAGGGGTGGTATTTAATTGACTCAAAGTGCCCTTTTATGAACTTGGTAAAACCTTTCCAGTAGCAGGTTAGAACCGCAGCCCTAACTTACCCAATTGTAACTGTGGTTGCCATAGTATATCATAAATTTTGAGAAAGAGAGAAAAAGGAGTAATCATTAGCTGTTATGTAATAGCAGCTCTCCACAGTCCCGAGTCTCAGTGATTCAGTTCCTAGGGTAGCTCTGGGTCGGACTGGCTTACTGTGTAATACTTAGCCTTGAACCAGCGGTTACCCCGCCAAAGTCTAATATATAGTACTAGAGTTGCTGACCTGATTTCTTTTGGTGGAGCAATTACTGTGATTGCAATCATGCTGTTTTCTCCATTCTGTTACCTTTTGACTTATAACCTGGCCTGGTATTTAGGGGAGAAAAGAATAGGAATTTCTCCTGAGTCTGTTTCTTTCCGGAGATAATTCTTCTATGAGAATGTAGCCGTTTTTCCGTACTGATAAGCCACACGCCCTTCTTTATGTTCAGTTCTGCCCTAGTTGCCAACAAAGACATGACCATTGATTGGCCTTAAATCTCTTCCTAGTTTACAGGTCTTTAAGTGTACTTGAAATAGGGTCCTTTTCCATAAGGGAGGACATCCTAACAATTTAAGGACTCGTAAGGCCGCTGTTTAACCCTGGGTTGATCCGTTTGAAACCCTGATTAAGTAAAGACAAAGTACTTGTCCCTTGCCCCTCTTCCCATGCGCAGTAGGGCCGCTGACTCCCAGTGCAGTGGACTCTCGGTCCTCTGAAAGGAGCAAGACTGGATGGTCTTCAGACTTACTTTAGCATAAAGTCGGCAGAGGGCAAACTAACTTAGAATCCAGCTCTAGATAACCAGAGAGAAACAAAGGTGCTGGGCCTGGAGCACCCCATACTCCCACCCACATCCTGCCACATGTTGTAAGAGTCTGGGAAGGCCCAGCCTGCTCGTTCACCTGTTTCTTCTGAACCCCAGTACTTCTTTGTTTTTACCACCTCCCTCTCTGCTCTCTTTGCCCCCGTTTCTTCTGTTCCTTTAAGGTGAGTAAGTGCAGCTAGAGAAAGGATGCGGATGTGATGTTTACTAAATAAAGGTGTTTTTTAATCAAGAGGGTTTTTAAATCAGAAAATTAAATTTGACTTATTATGTTTTTAAGTTCTGTGGCTCATGCAGAATGATAACCAAATAGTGTACATCTTGTTAGCAGTGGCCACTTCCTAAAGCTAAATTGTAATTTCTCGAGAGATCATGTGGCTGCAGAACTTATCATGAAGAGCTTAGTTTTCCAGGGTTTACCTACAATTTCAAATCCAAACAAGCCTAAATTACTTTCATTTGCTCTAAAGGCCATTTTTCTAAATCCCTTCATATTCATATCATTTCTATAAAGGCATGACCATCTTGGACAAATATCACACCTAACAAAGGTATATACTAGTAGGGGTAAGGGAGGAACTTTGTAAATTGTCAGGTGTAAAGTGAATAGTCTGACCTGATTTCTGACAATCCCATATTTCCATCTGGTGATACCTGACTTTATTTTTTAGTGCATTTCCACCTTTATGAACATACTGATCATAGAAGATTATCCACCGATTCTCTTTTCTGTTTCTAGTCGCCAGTGAGTCATTGACTTTGACTGTACATCAGCTGGAGCTTATGAAGGTATCACAGTGCCAGTGAGTCACAAAGGCATCTGCTAATTTTCATTCACTCTCAGAAAGGAATAAGTAGTTTTCCTTCTCAGGGGAGTTGAGTGATTATACTGCTTCATAGCCATTCTTTGAATCATATAACATTAAGATTTGACATGATTATTCTTAATTGACTTGGGACTAGACAGACAAGTCTCATATTTGGTTTCCCTTCAGGTTTAATAACATACAGGCTTTGAGAAGTGAGCAAATTCATTTTTTCTGCTGAATATTACATAGCATTATTAAGAGTACAATACTGTGCAGAGAATATAAAGTTATGTCCCATTCTCTTGCTGAATCCATAAAGTATTGCCAGAAAGCTTATCTAAGCTCCCCTTTCCCATTTCATATTCTCCATTATCTCTTTCCTTTTTCTTCGCAGAATCTCTCTCAAACCGAAGAAGAATTTTTAGGATTCATCTTCATTTATTTATTCAGTAAATATTTACTGAGGGTTTACATGCCAGGATAAGCATTGAGAATGCAATGGTGACAAGCATGATCGCACCCTTTCATAGAATTTATAGTCTAGTGCAGGGGTCAGGAGCCAAATCTTCCCTCGCCGCCTGTCTTTCTAAATAAAGTGTTATTGGAATATAGCCATATTCATTCATTTACCTATTGTCTGTGGCTGCTTTTGCACTCAAATGGCAGACTTATACTTAAATAATTGCACCAGAGATGCTACGGTCTGCAAAGCCTAAAATGTTTACCACTTGGCCCTTTACTGATAAAATTAACCAATCTCTGCTCTGCTAGGTATGGTGGGGAAATAAGTGCAGGTGGGAACCTGAACAGCCTTTCAACCTTGTTCACACATTGTGCACCAGTAGTTTTATCGCTAGCTTTACCCAGTGGCCAGATAAGTTTCTATGAACGAGTACAAAAAGCGTTTTACAAAGTATCATACTTTAAAAAGATATTAGCTTGTGAGAACATGTAATCAATAACTTCAAAATGCAATGGGTGTTTAATGTTAAGGCATGCCTTTGACATTTATGTAAAACGCTGTGTAATATGAAAACACGAGAGTGCTCGTGATCCGCCTGCAATGTGTTAAGCAGGATGAATTCTCCTGGGGAAGTGGGCCAGTGGTGGAATGTTGTAAGAAGAGAAGTATTTTAGACGTCACTGTGGCTGCTGGGTGAAAAAATAATGAAGAAAGACAGTGAGTGCCTGTGTTGGAATGAGAAGCACCAAAGCATAGTGGTTAAGACCATGAGCTCTTGAGACATAAGGCCTAGATTCAAATTTTGACAAACCCCACCCCCGCCTCCCATGTACTGATTCTGACATTAGGTAACTTCTCTGTCAGATTTTCTGTCTGTAAAATAGGGATGATAATTATAGAAACTAACTCTTGGGATTAAGTTATGTATGTGAAGCACTTAAACTATAGTGTTTGTAATTGTCAGTATTATTGCTGTTGTGGTAATCCTCTTAAGAGATAAGGGTAGAGGAGAGAAGTGGGCAGGTGCAGGAGCAGTACAGGTGATAGGATTGGCAGGAATTCATGAGTGATTGGATGTCAGTAGGGTAGATAAAAGAGAATAGGAAGTGAGGATGAAATGCAGGTATGTACTTGATCAGTTGAGTGGATGGTGGTTCCAGTCCCCAAAGTAGGAAAGACAGTAATTGAAATAGGTTTATGATGTGGGGTCAATGTTAAGTTCAGTTTGGGGTTTCTTAAATTGAGGTACCAGATTGATCTAAGTAGAAATGATCAGGAAGCAATTGACAGCAAGGTCCAAAGATCAGAAGTATGGTGTGGGCTAAAGAAATGGAAGTAGGAATGATCAGTATAAATCTGGTTGTCTAACTTAGAAGCAATATAATGCAGAATGAAGGTGGAATGACAGATAGACTTTTAACCGAACTGTAGAGAACACCAATAGTAAAAATTTAGACAAAGAACCCTTACGTTAAGAAAAGATCAAAATAGTTTTTGGAAGAAGATGAGCTTGAAGTTTGAGTCCATTAAGTATTCCCTTGTTGAGGTAGCTGAATTTGAGAAATATTTAAATTTGCAATTTTTATGTAGACATAGGCCACATACACTACACTATCTATAAAAATAAAAGTGTAATATGCTAATTAGACCAGACGTCCTTACAGATGTCCTTCCTTCCGGACAAAGCTGCAGAGGCGGCAGAGGCCCCAGACCATGGCGGCGGGCTGGGGCCGGGGCCAAGGCCCTTGCATGAATTTCGTGCATTGGGCCTCTAGTGTGTTTCATCATTTGGCTATCTTGATTTTATGTACCATCATATTCCACATTCTTCCAATATGTAATTTTTCCCTTATAGGATATTAGGCAACATAGTGGATGCTATGGTTATGGATGTTGATATCTGATGACCTGTTTAATCTACTTTTTTATATTTTTTGATATTTCCTTCCCCTCATTTTTTACCTCCCCAGTTACTGATTTACTGCAGCCTTCATGTAAAAAATTGAAAAGGGGGAGAATGTGTTTCTCCTTTTTTGGGTCCAATATCTTAGAGTTTTATAATGATTTCTCTATTTTAATTTGTTTACAACACCGCCATAAGTGAGTATAATTTTGGAAAGAGCCAGTAGATGAATTGGAGAACTGGACACTTTTTCCAACATCACAATTACTTCTCAGCTTCAGTGCCTGCATCTCTAATACAGTGAGGTTTGGCTTCCTCTCGTTAGTAAGAGTTAATTCTCAAAAGAACCCTCAGGACTTCATGAATATAAGATTTCTGGCAGCACTGCCTCCTACCTCTTCACCTCTGATCCTTATTAGGGCTCACAGGTCAGGCTCCAGCTAAGTCCCTCCTGGAGGGAGTGCTGATCAGAAAGGCCTGATCCAGAGCCTTATCTGCCTATAACACATGCCTAAAGAAAGGCATCATATTTATAGAATCAGGCTGAGTGTTGCATTTTTTATGTTCAGTTTTGTGTTATCAGAGGAAAATTGTGAAACAACTTCGAAATGTACCAAAAAGATTACTGAGTATACTATCTGACTCAGCTTTCTAAGGTTACTTCGCCCTTTTATTATCTTTGAGCTCTTTTACGATCCTGTAAGTGATAGAAAACTGAAAGTAATGCAGAGGTTTTTGTTCATTGAAAAGGAAATTGTGTGCTGTGGATGCAATTGGTTACTGCCCTCTAGTTACCAATTTTACCCGTTTTGCATCTACTTGTAAATTCTTTGCAGTACTCTTTTTTTTTTAATTTTAAGATTTTAATTGACCAAAAATCTATTCCAATCTCACAGTGCCAAATTGGAAGTGGTTATGAGTGCTCCTTTTTTGCTGTATTCTTGATGTTTATATATTTGTCTGTTCCTTGAATTTACCTTTCAACCAGTTATAGCATCTGTGGATTTCCCTTTTAATTAATGAATCAATTGAAATCTATGTCCCATGTGCAAAAAAATTCTCTCACTATTATACACATGTATGTTTATACGTGCATATAACATCTCTAGAAAAATTTATAGAAACTGCTGGTTATGATGGCCTCTACAGAAGGGAAGCCAGGAAAACTTGCTTTTTGCAGTTTGCCCTTTTGAATCCTTTGGATTTTGTATCATATGCTTATATTAACTGAACAAATAGATAAATTTTTAAAATTCATTACTGGCCCTAGCTGTTTTGGCTCAGTGGATAGAGCATCAGCCTGGGGACTGAAGGGTCCCAGATTCAATTCTGTCAAGCGCACATGCCTGAGTTGTGGGCTCAATCCCCAGTGGGGGTCGTGCGGGAGGCAGCCAACCAATGATTCTCTCTCATCATTGATATTTCTTTCTCACCCTCTCCCTCTCTGAAATCAATAAAAATATATCCTTAAAAAATTCATTACTGAACTCTAAAATCAGTTCTTAGCCAGTCCTTACCAAAACATCAACATCAACTAAATTCACATTTGAATTAACTGACTCTGAAAGGAGATCTTTGTCCCTAAATAAACTACCAGTACATAGCAACCTACCTGTCAACATCCTACCTACAGCCTTCTTTCTGTGCCTTTTAAAGCAAAGCTTTCACCTCTATTTTTAAGATAACTCTAACACTGCAGAAACATTTGGTCAGATGGTACCTATTCTATTTTGAATCTATTAAAGGATCACAATCTTAGTGTGGAGTGAGGTGGTAAACCAGTTAGCCTGTTTTGCAGTTGTTCTAAATTCACATTATCAATTCACCTTGCCTCTTGCCCAGCTATGCATACTCAATAACTCCCCTGGTCTAATTATAGCTAGCGGCTCTCCCTTTAAGCTAGAGGTTCTCAAGCTCGGATGCACAGTGAAATCGCCTGGGAGCTTTTAAAAATCGGGATGCCCAGAACAATTAAATCATAAAGTCTGGGGGTGGGAAACCGGTACTTTTGAAAGCCCCTGGGGTGATGCTCAGGTGAAAAGACTGCTTCATGCAGAGAACAGTACTGGTTTAGCAGAGACTTCATATACTGCACCTTGGGAGCAAAAGCACTGTGAGTCCCTGACTGGAAGATCAGTATTCGTGATACGGGGGGACCACACAGAAATGGGGGCAGCCTTTACCGAGTCTCCTTACATGCAGAGCCTATTTTCCCCTGGGTCACCTCTGGAATGGGGAAAAGAAGGGATTGAGTGTGATTTAAAAGCCCAAACTGACTTGGTTATAGTTATTAGAGCTTTTTGAAAAAGAAAAATAAATAGTTCTCAATTCAGCTGAGGTTTCACTGAGTAGAAAATACCAAATTGGGACTGCTGGGTGCATATGCCTGCCTTGTTCCTCTGCCATTAGGGGTACAAAGCCAGCCTAGTGATGAGTGGCATCTAATACCACTGCCACCATATGGCTGAATTACTGACACAAAACTATATTTGTTGTACACTGGTCAGCTGGGAAAACCACATATTGTACAACTAGAGGCCCGATGCATGAAATTCGTGCAAGAGTAGGCCTTCCTTCTCCTGGCTGCCGGCACCGGCTTCCCTCTGGGACCCAGGCTTCCCTCGCAGCCCTGGCTTTATCTGGAAGGTCATCTGGAAGGACGTCTGGAAGGATGTCTGGTCTCATTAGCATATTACACTTTTATTATTATAGATGTGACCTATTAAGTGTCTATTATTGTCAAAGGTCCTTGAACTTCACTGCTCTACCCCACAACACTGGGCTCTTTGTTAAGAGGTCTTTGGTAGAGAGTTAGTTTCAGAAGGGGAGAAGTAAACAATGCATCCATCATGCATTTCCTTGAAGATGGTAAAGCAGGGAAATAGTCTATCTCTTGGCATACCCTTCACTCCCCGAAAGGTATCTTCTCATGGGAAGTCCTGAT